CAATTCCAAAAAGAAGTTCAAGCCAGCACCACGTGCAGCATTGGCATGTTATCTGCTATTAGATATGCCCTTAACTCCTTGAACTTCTCATGACTATCATTTCCACAGGTATTGCAGAGTTAGGAGGCATGCCTAGCCAGGCAGTCAAAATACATGTAGTATATTAAAAAATTATTCAACAATTTGGTGAGAACTACTTCTAATGGAGTAAAGCACTAACCTGCCCAAGGACCCTGTGAGCAAGAAGAGGACATTCAAAAAACACCCCTGAAATGCAGAGTCTTCCCCGTGAAAAGCTGTGTACAGGCTTAGAAACTGTCAGGAGCCATTCTTTAAATTATGAGGTGGTTTTATGGAAGTATTGAATATGCTCATTAAAGATGAGGGCTTCTCTAGCTTTTCCAGCTTTATTCCTCTGTAAATCTTCTCCTACTAAACACATAGCTTGCTCTCTTTGCTTTTCTCCTTGTTATTCTTTCAGTATTGAACACAGAAGGAAAGTATAACAAGGCATTAAGCTAGTTATTAAGTTAAATTAGGACAGTAGCCTGTCACACACATAAAAAGCCTTGGTGGGGGAAGGGATGTAGGTGAGCTTTATCCTTCTGGCAGCTCTGCCTTCATCTTGGTGCCCGATCTCTGGGCACAGTGCCTCTCAGTTACTGAGTGCTCTCCCCTGTCACAGGTACTGAGGTGGGCAAGTAGGGCTGTGGCGCAATTTAGGAAATTAAAACTGTGGTTTATGAGGCAGCAAGCAGGGAACAAACCTTTTTTATTTCTTTTTCTTTTTTTTCCCCGCAAGGAAAAGTAGAACATGAGTCAATACTTTTCAGAAGGCTGAAGAAGCCTCACACAGGAGCTGCAACCCCAGCTGAGCCCTGCTCAGTGCAAAACCGCCTTCTGCCCCTCTGTCTTGCTCTCGGCAAGGCACGGAGAGCCTGAGCAGGATGCAGAAGTGCCAGCAATCTCGGTGCTGTGTGCAGATCTCGCTGCGAGGGCCCCGAGTGGTTCTGCGGTAGGGAGGTGTTGAGGGCACGCATGAGCCAGCTTTTCAGGTTCACCCGGCCCCACAGCTCCTCATAAACCTGCTCTGTGCGTGAGGAACAGCAGGCCCTGACATCGGGAGCCATTCCACTGGTTTGGAAATGAGTGTGTTTTCCAGGTGATGGCTGTCCAGCTCTGCCCAAACCCTGGGCTGGGGGCAGCTCCTCTGCTGGGAGCAGCCCCTTGCCGAGGACAGGGAAGGGGTGAAGCCACATGGTCGCAGGGCTGTTGTTATGACCCTCCTCCTTAGCCCAGCGCCGGTGGCTGCACCATTGCTGGAACACACAGCGGAGCCCGGCACTGCCTCAGAGGCTGCTCCCCTGAGGACTTTGCAACCAGCTCATAAACTACTGCTGCTCATCCCCGCTGCTTGGCTTTGGGAGGGTCCCCGCATATCCCTGGCAGCAGCTCCACGGGAGTGCCTGGCCGTGGGCTGCAGGAGGGCCACGTCAATTCCGCGGCTGGTTTTTCCAGCCTGGTAAGGTGGCAGCACCAAACTGTGTCAACAAAATCTAGCTAATAAAGAGGAGGCGTCTCCCTCTGCAGGCGAATGTGAGATCACTACATCTGGGAGAGGAAAGCCTAGAGGAGACAATGATTTTGACTCACCCCACCATTCAATGACAGCGAACAAAGCGCACCTCTCCACCAGGAAATCCCTTCCCTTTGGCTGATGTAGGGGGCTGTGCGTGGCTCAGCCCCAACCACTCGCCCCTGACAGGCAGGGTCTGCCCATGGACATCTCCCTTATGGCCCCCATGCACCTCTCTGACACTCTTGAGATCATGGGCAATACTTTCCTCTGATGCTTCCATATTACAAATATTTCCCACAGAGGAAAGCAAGGAGCCCAAGCTCTGTGGGTGCCCAGTCTCCAGCAGTGGCCATTTGCCATTGAGACCACTGTTAGAGCGGGTCCCCTCATACCCCCCAGGACCTCCTTGGGCCTGTGTCACAGCAGATGGAGCTGCACAGCAGAGAATATCACCAATAACTACTCCTGTTCCTGGGAGCAGGGAATTATCAGACTGGTGCCAAGGTTCCAACCCTGATTTATTTCAGGAGGGAGGTTTCTTTGGGGGGATGAGCTGTATTTCAGCCCTGGGGATTACCTGACTCACCAGCCATGTTTCAGAGGCTGGAGTCTTCCGGGCCACTGGAGTTACAAGTCATCTTTAGTGATGCTGCCTTCATGCTCCTGTGGTGTCAGCCTAAGGGGCAACACATAGGAAAGGATATTCCAAAATATAGCACTGCTCTCCCCAGCATCAGTATGCACATTACTATTCCTCATTCCTGGCAGAGAAAAGCCAGCTGCTAAGCTTGGCACAAGCTCCCAGAAATGTGCATAAGGAACACTGTGACACAAGCCACCAGTGGTACCCGACAGGAGCACTCTCACTGTCCCACCTAGGCAGTGGCATTGGGCAGGGAGGGGAGATGCAAAGCAGCACCAGGCACGGTGGTGTTGGGGTCTGCTCTGTGGGTGGCTTATGGCAGAAGTCTGATTGGTCACCCTGCAGCAGCAACTCCTTAGGTGGTCTCTGCCCTCTCCTGGTAATGGAAGTGAAAGAAATTTCACCTGCAAACAGGGCAAAACTTTTGGACAGTGATACGATGAATTTTTGGCAGGCTTTAGTGAATGCAATGATACTTTGGGGCTTGTAAATCAAATTTGATGCCTTTCAGAGAGGAGGGTCGACCATAAATTATAGGTCACAATGTGCATCATCCTAGCGGTGCAGGGGGGTATGTAAATGGGCTACTCCTTGTCAGGGTGTGGGAAGGACCAGCTGCTCTGCAAGGCTCAGAGAGCCCAATGTGATGGCAAGGTCAGTGGGGCAGCACCTCCCTGTCAGAGCCAGACAAACTGCAGGATGGGGGAAGCTTGTGCAAGGCCCTGGCACTTGTAGCAGCTTCTGCTCACCTGGAGACAAAAGGAAGCGAGTCCTGAAGGCAGTGTATGAAAAGCAGATGTCCTCCCAAGTACTTAGGCAAGGCATGATCTCAAAAAACAGAAAGGCCCATGGTCCTTCTCAAGCTGTGCTTTAGATAGGGCTCCCCAAAGCCTTGCAAACACTGAGAAAACATTACATACCAGCCAGAAGCTGAGCATTATGCCTTTCAAGACAGCTGAGGGCAGCCAATCACTCCAAATAGCTGACAGATCTATTGGGGTTCAGAAAGCTCCTCCTTCCTTCCTCAGCTTCTTTCTTCCCCCTTTCTCAGAGACTGCTGCTAAGATGCTTCTCCCTTTCCAGCTAAACCTGTTTACTCCCAGTAGGACCACTCTACCTGCTGCTATAAAAGACTCTGGATGGGATGCAGCTGGGGCCAGTTACTTTTCAGCTTCTTACCCCTACCCTCTATGTTGCCTATAGCAAGAATGGTTGTGTAGCAATCTTCTTAAGGAAAACTTTTGAGTTACTACTCGATAAATTTCTGCTAGTGTTATGGTAGTGATGCTGTTGACTAACATAATCCCTTACTCCTTTGAATTCAGTTATAAGTGTTTCTGTAAGGTAAGCTCTTCCAAGATCAAACCATGTACTGATGCAAAACTCAGCTATTTTAGTAAAGAGTTGTGCAGAGTTGAGTTTTCTTCTGTTATTTGCAAGCCTGGAAAAACAGGGGGACCCTGCTTGATTGTAAAGTGATAAGTGTGCTCATAGTTATACGCAGAACCATTTATCAGTTCAAATGAAGTTGTTTTTATGAAATCCAAGATAACAAAGAAGGTTTGAGGAGTTATTGAAAACAGAATGGTAGTGTTCACAAGGGTAATGGCAGCTCCATGTATCTAATGTCTGCTCTTAGAAAAGTATGTCAATAAAAAGAAGCATAATATCCAAAGCATTCTTGAAAGCAACACAGATTAACCTGTGTATATTGCTGGGGAAAAAAAAAAAAAAAGAAGAACATTAAATGTTCTGCAAGTGGCAAACTCAGTGTTGTAATGCCAACAGATTTCAACAGAGGTTTTGACTGGAGTTGAGCTTCAGTGCCCTTCCTGCAAAGTTTTGGGTAAGGTTATCTATCGGTTCAAACAGTGGTAATGCTGCATTTTGGTCTCTAGGCAGAGAAGTAATAATGGCTGTGCCCTGAGTCTACCAATGATCTGCATGGGCTGCTATTAAGGCCAGTCTTTTTAAAAGCTAAACTAACTGGGAAGGAGAGTTGAATGGTTAATTTTCATTAAAACTAAATTGGGAAGAAGCTGAGGCCTTTGCAAGAACAGAAGACAAAACTGGTAAAAGCTGAGTTTAAAAATTAATTGCTTTACTCTCTTCTCTCACTTGCCCCCTGGACCAACAGAGTGAGAGATGATGCTAAAGATATGTTTTGGCAGGAGACAAATGAACAAAGATGTGAGTAAATAATATAGATAAAAATAGTGGAATTAGGATCAGGCCTAGAGGCACCTTGGAGGAAGTCTGGAATAATTAATTGTAAGCACTGGGGTGGGAAGTTACAAGTAGCATAGGGCTGGAGCAGGTGGGGAAGGGAGCCCTTCAAGCCATACATGAGCTGTGCCCTGTGCCCCTGCCTGCAACTCTCTAACTATAAAACCCCCTCTCCATTCTTGTCCCAGGTCTGTCTGAGGTGGCCCTCTGGGCCATATTCTTGTTTCAGAAGAAACATGTTTTCATAATACCCCTACCTCCAGATTTATGTGTGTTCCCTTAGGCCCCAGCTTTGGATGCAAAACTGTCTTCTCATTCAGCCTTATCTCCTCTGAGTCAAATGGCCCATCCTTCCCCTGCCTGTAGTTTGGTTTAGGAAGTGGTGGGGAGCTGAAGAAACGACTGCAGGCCTTTTGGGCAGCACGGGAACACCTTTCACAGTTGTGTGTTTGAATTGTATCCCATTCACCTTTTGTCAGGACTGCCCAGTGGCAAATGAAGTGAGCACCTATATTGTAAGAAGAGATTGGGACTGATCAGGGAAGTTCCTTTACAGAAATCCTTTACCAAATGGGTTTAAAAAAACCCCAAATGTTGAACAAAGACTTGAAGACTGTCCTCCTTGCAGGTGATATCTTGCCAACCAAAGAATCCTCTGACTGTGTCGGTTCAGAGCTGGGTAAAGGAGTGTAGAGTCTCATTGCAAAGATGTTCTTTGGGGTTCTGCAAGGGGTTATCCAAAAAGCTGCAAAAAAGGGGCAAGTAACTTGTGGCGGCAAGCAAAACTTTACTGGGGATCAAAACAGTCTCAAGACAGACTCAAATAGAATGAATGCTGATTAGTTTAGTTAAAAGGCAGAAATAAGCACTTCCTTCTGGGATTACAGGAATAGCATTTTAGTCCCAGTTCTCTGGCCAGGGGCTTCTTACAAAGCAAAGTGATGAACTTCAGTTTTGTGCTCTCAGCTTTGCCTGGGATCGGCAAATAGACCTAGACTCTGCAGCCTTGTTAGACTTCAACCAGAGGAAAGAGGTGGTGTTTTGTGTGTGTCTGGTGTTGGCATAACTTCTACCAGCTCTGAGAGCAGACGACTCAATTGGGGTCTGGAGCAGGAGAATGACTAAGTGGAGAGGGGCCAACACAGAGCCATTGGCAAAGTATGGCTGAGACTGACCCTGGGACGATTCTGCTCAGCCTAGCGATGGAGGAGGTGCTTTCTATCTTTGAGAATGCAGGGAGGAGAGCTCTTACACACCACCACCAATGTAAGCAACAGTTCACAATGGAAATTTTGCTAATACAATAATGTTGTTATTGTGCTATGGTTTATTTTACTCTTGTTTAAAACACTGGACCTATTCTGGCTGAATAGGTCTGGCTATTTGGTTTGCACAAAGTCTTTCTTCAGTGAACAGTTCAGAAAACACAAATAGGTGCATGCATGAATGCCTTAGAGGTTCTCAACCTCAGCCTGAGTTTTGAGACTTCTTTGCTAAAGGCATAGCTGATCGGGTTGTTCAAAGGATACCTTTGATCTTAATCAGAAGTCCTTCAATTCGATTTTTGTACACACATTTGTTCAAGAACTTGTTAGTTAGACTAGTCTCAGCCACTAAATTTTTAACTGTGAAAACAGACACTGATGAATTAAATTGACAAATTTTCTCCTAATCTCATGTTCTCTGGATTCTGCATGTGTATTCAACCACTCTTTTCAGAACAAAGTTTGAAGACACAGCAGTTCTAGGCAGAAGCCCAGGAGCTCACCTAATGTACTTGTTTTAACTGCTGTTTCAAAACCAGTGGGCCTACTTACAGGCTTTAGAGAACAAAAGGGTTTGTAAATGGTACATTCTACCACAAGAGAAGTCCTTAGAGGTGATTTTCATTATGTGATTAGAGCCATGATAGCCTTTATTTGAAGGGTGATTGCAGATTATGACATCTTTGGGTTAATAGCTCCTGATGTCACCATCATTTTGTTTAAGCCTTAGGATATTAGCTAACCCTTATGTAGTTTTCCCTTTGGAGATGTTTCACAGTGTAAGAGCAACTAGGTCAGAGGGCAAAAAATAACTTGGAGCAATAGTAAGGACTCCAAGTAGTCCCTTCTGAGAGCTCTCATCTTTGAATTCAGTGGGTCTGCTTTGTTTTTTTCCTTTTTGAAAAACAGTCATGCCTGGCAGAGGGAAAGCAGACACATCCAGCATGTTACCCAGAAGCCATCTTTTAAAGTATGTGTGTGTGCATGAAGGGACAATACCCTGTCTAGCTCTATGCAAAATTGTTCTCAAATGACCAGCTTGCTTGATCATCACACACATCCTTCAGAAGGACCATGCCCAAACACTGAAGGTCTGATACAGGTATGAGGGCTGCTGCTTATGGCTGTATCTTGCCAGGGTACAAAGAAGAGGTTTTGCTTAATGACTGCTAGTCAAACATCAGGCAGAGAGATGCGAGGAAGGACTATTACCTCTAATAGTGTGCAGAGATTAAACTTTGAACTCTTTGTATCAGCCTGTTCGGGTGACTCTTGCAAGGCAATGCAGCTGACCTCCTCGCTGGAGAAGCAGAAGGAAGATAGATGAACTCCTTGCAAGGAGCAGGGAATCCTCTCTTCCCCTTGGGCCTGAGGGCCCTGCTTCCCCAAGGGAGGACAGCTAATAGCTCCAGAGAGTCAGGAAGGAGCAAAGCAAACCTTCTGCCTGCTCTTGCTTTTGGGAAGTGAAGGGCTCTGCTCAGCAGGTGGTGTCTCCCTGCACTTCATTTTTGCTCCCCTCTAATGGCCAAAGTTCAGAGGGCGCCTTTTCTGGAGACCATGATGTCACAGGCTGTGGTGACTGGTGCCAGAGGGTGCTCCAGGCAGGCTCACAATTACCCAGCACTGCCTCAGGGTGGGGTTTTCCACAGCTCTGATTGCTGGGTTTTATCCTGTTTTCTGTTACATCTCCAAAGAAATGCACCTGTCTCGTGGGTGCTGGGAGAAGGTGTCACAGCTAAACTTGGGAAAGAGAGCAGTGAAGGCATATCAATAAATCTGCACAAGTCTCAATCTTCATGGAGTCAGTGTGCCCTCCTGCTTACATCCCCGACAGAAGCTCTCTGCCTCTGACACTTGCACTGCAGCTCTTCCCTCTCCTTGGAGCAAGTTAGATCCACTGCCCGGGTTTTACCCAAACTAGCAAATCTGCAGGCTGATCTCTATGAAGCCTCAATCTATGCAAAAATGTGCGTGCTCATGTGCTCAAAGCTTTGACTTTTGAACAGCTATGCTATTTATTGTGTTGCAATACTTGCTGTTGCCCTTTTTTAAAAAAAACCTCTTCATTTGAAGTGCCGGAAAATTTAAATAATACCTCATTTGGAACAGCTAGGGATTATCATAGAATGGTTTGGGTTAGAAGAGACCTTTAAACATCATCCCGTCTCAACTCCTCTGAAAAAGAGCAGGCACATTTTCAATTAAATCAAGTTGCTCAGAGGCCTGTTCAGCTTTGAATATTTGAATCTCTCTGGGCAATCTCTTTCACTGTTTCACCACTTACGTGGGCATAAACTTTATATTAGCTGAATGTAAGCCTAACAGCCCAGGGTAAATCCTCCAGCACCTTCCATCAAGCTCTTGCTGCAATGTGTTAAACATGGGCTCCTTTCCAAAGTTAGAGAATCAATCCGGAGAGAAAGTTTGTTTCCTTATACTTACCATGTCTTCCCACCTATTGAAGCTACTTAAGCCAAACTGCAGTATGTGTAACAAATGCCACCTCTGCTATGCCACCTCTGTTGGTGTCAAAAGGGTTAAAAGATCTTTTGATCAAGAATGTGAAGGTTGTTGTTTTTGTAGTGTGGTCAATGTGGCGAAGAAGCTGCCCCTGGATGGCCCATGTATGAAATCATATGCTCTGCAGTCAAGAGGGACATATGAATCAGGGCACAATCCTAAGCTTTGATGAAACCTTGCAGTGCTTGTGCAAGAAGATCCTTCAATGACTTTCTCTGCTCCGATGTGTAAATCACAAGTAACAATCACAGGCAGTACAACAAGCTGATTTGGAGGTAGTTATGTGCCATCTTAGCCTGCTCGGCCTTGCCTCCTGTGCAGAAAACTGTCTGTCCTCTGCACTGATGGGGATGGCAGTGTAGCTCAGATCAGCAAGGGCCTGTTTGAGTGAGGCTGACTCTGTGCACACTCACTCTTTTTCTGTAGAGTCTGTCAGGGGTCTTGTATTTAAGGCCATCCTGAACTGGCATATCCTACCTGGAATTAAATAATTTTTTTTAAAAAGACCAACCACTCTGCATCCTCTTTTCCCTGTCCCCACCTGCGTGGAGCAGGTAGGTAGTTGGTGGCAGTACAGTGACAGTCAGCTAGCCAACCAGCAGGGTGTGGTGGACACACTGCTCCTGTCCCCCACAATGATCATGCTTAGCTCCATCCTAGTTGGTGTAGCTGCTCTCTTGACTCCTGCCACATGTCCACTGTGTTTAAGTCCTTCTGCAAGCTGCTCTGTACAGTCTTTTTTGTGACCTGTGCTATGGAAGTGGTTGATCTGCAAGGCCAGGGAACTGTAAGTGCTTCTTGCCCTTTACCTATCCTAAAGCTTTGGATTTGTTGATTTGTGACATTCTTAGGAAGATGATTACCTACTCTATAGAAACCACTTCCTGAATTTTGGATCCTACCAGGATTTGGCATGCTGTTACTCATCCTGAACGGTACCTGGAGTCTTTCACAAACAGCTACATGCTCTTCAGTCTTGAAGAAAGGTGAACATGTTGTCTACCACTAAGTCAGTTTGTTGTTTACTCTCCTGTTATAGGAAATTTATTTTAACACTTGGAGTCTGAAATGTGACATTTGTGCAAAAATCAATTATCTTGTAATCTCAACCCCAGGGCAAATCGGACTGTAGGTGATGCATATCAGAAACTAGTCCTCCCTCTGTATATATTGGTGAAAAAGTGAGTCTCTACCAGAAAACTGAAACTCTTGTTGCAAATAGGAATTTGAGCTTTAATTGAGCATTAAATTTATTTAGGGCTACCTCAAAGAAGAACTATTTCTGGAACGCTGTAGAAGCAGTCTAGTGGGAAACGCGCTCTCCAGAAGCATCCACAACCTTATTTCATGGTCCTCAGAAAATTGTCCTTTCTCTCTGAGGTCCTACCTAGCCACTGTGGCCTCTGAATAAAGGCATGGAGGCTTCTGCTCCATAGTCTCTGTCTCCTCCCCACTCATGTGGAGGACAGAAGAATGTAGTGCTCCTCTCCCACTAATTCAGGATTGCAGCCCTGATGTGCCAACAGTCTGTGAAGTGTTGCTGGGCCTCTGCTTCCTCACCTGCAGGATCTGAGCTCTGTACAACTTATTGTGATGTGTTTATTTAAAAGTCACTATGATGTCCATGTTGCATATCAGCTTGTAAAGCACCCTGAGTCCAACAGTGATTCTGAGCACAGTGCCAGTGTCTGGGCACTGGACTTGGCAGCTCTCTGCGTGCTAGCCCACCCAGATCTGGGAGTGCAGACAGGTGTATTTGACATTGTGGAGGCAAGAGGATAATTAGAATGTCACAACTCCATCTGGATTGCTCAGGTAAGCTTTCAGTCCGTGAGAAAGCCCTGCCTTACTAAGCAAGACAGGGATCTTGGAGGATGCTGAGAGCCTCATCTTTTCCATCTGCCTCTGTTCTTTACACATGTTGTTCTTGTTCCCTTCTGCCAAAGATGCACTTGGGGAGGGCTCTCCACCAGCTGCCTTCTCAGGTGGCACCAAACAGCTGAAGTCATGAGCTCTTCCTGTAACTGAACATGCCACCACCTCAGAGATGGGTGGACAGACCTGCTCTAGGAGAGGCAATGTTCTTGTTCATGTGGCATGAAGCAGTTTCAAAATGAAAACTTTAACTACTGAACAAAGGATTAGGTTAGGAATAAAAAATTATGTCAGTATCAACACCTTTTCTACTCAACTAATCCAATTTACCCTTGCATGTCCCAAGAGCGTTCTCTCTTGTGATATGGTGTCTTACATAAAGGAGACCTTGTTTAACAATTGCTAAAGCGTAGGTCAAACAAGCAGGTATTTTGTACTTGTTGTGCCTCAAGCAGCTACCCACTGTACTCCATCTGAGAACAGCAAATCCACAGACAATATGCAGGCAAAGGAGTCAGCAACAGTGAAACCATTGTCCAGAGCATGGAGAGGGTCCCCAACATGGCTTTGCTGCTGAATAATGAGACTGAACGTCAACTTGTAAGCACTAGAAGCTAGTGCAAAAAGTACCCTGCTTGTGTGGCTGCACCTAGTCTTTTGGTGCGTAGAAGCCCTTGCAGCAGATGAAAGTTGTCTTCAGCATGTACCTGAGTATTCTGCTTAGTGATGCTACTGCCCAAAGCAGGTGATGAAAGATGAAAGACAAGTGACCTGGGACTGTACAGTCCTTGAGCTGCAGTCCTCTGGAAGGGGCAGGACCTCCTGGGATCTGGAAACACTAATGTGAGAGCTGTGCAAGGCACAGTGGGAGCTCATGCTACATGCAGGATGTTCTCCCTGTGCATGATATGGGGAAAATACTGCTGTTGACATGTATAGGCTGACCTTAAACTTGCAAGTGCTCTACAAAACAGAGAGTGTAAGTCAGGATGGTGCAAAAATCACCAATGGATTTCAATTCCTATATGTCAAATTCTTCCTCATTTCTCACACTAGTGCACTGTCAAAAGCAGAGCAAATTGTAGATGCCCCATTCCTGGAAACTTTCGAGGCCAGGCTGGATGGGGCTTTGAGCAACCTGGTTTAGTGGAATATGTCCCTGCTCACAATGGAGGGGTTGGAACTAAATGATCTTTGAGGTCCCTTCCAACCCAAACCATTCTATGATTCTATGAAATGTCTCATTGAGGGAAACATTCGCCTCCTGTTTGAAGAGTCAGCAGTTAACCAGACGACTTGTGTACAAAGTGCATTGATGCCTGCATGAGGCAAAAGTATCCCCAAGCCTGTGAGCTTTGTAGGGTGCTGCTGTTGAACGTGTAAACACACGATACTCGGGTGAAATACCAAGTTGAGTGAAGTGACCAGAGGGTGCAATGAGATATGCTGTGTTTAGGGGATTTTGACTATATTGGAACCATTTTCAGCTGCAGGAAGCTAAGTAGGAGATTGCCTAGAGCCCATTTAATCTGCAGCAGCAATGGCCAGATGCTGCAGTCTATGGTGAAGCAGGCACAACAGCTACCGCAGTCAGGGTAAGGGTGTTTCTGCCTGTGTGTTATTACCCTGCCCATCTGCTGAGGGGCGAGCTGGGATGGGTGGGCCAGGTACCTAGTGAGCGGGAGGGCCCCCCAGAGCCCGACGGGGAGACCGGAGCCTCCAGCTCCTTGCCCAGCACAGGGAGTGGGAGGCTCCGGTCTCCCCGTCGGCCCGGGAGGTCCCCAGTCCCGCCCCCGCCCCCGGTGTGATGTTGGGGCGGAGCGCATTCCCGGGATTATATCCGCCGGCGCGAGGTCGGGGAGCGGCTGATTCTGGGTTGCACCCAGAGATGCTGGATATGGAACCGAACATCGACCCGTCGGAGGTGCAGCTGCTGGGAGAGTATGACTTCGAGAAGGACTTCAATACGACGGCAGCCAGGAAATGGATGATGGAAAATCGGTGAGAGGAGAGGAGGTTGCAGCTCCGATGCACCCTGGACCCCGGGTAGCTCCGTCGGGTCCTGCTGTTTCTAGCAGAACAGGTGTGGGGGTCCTCAGTTCCGAGGAGGAGGAGGTTGGAGGGCTCTGGTTGCACACCTCAGGCTGTTGAGGAAGGGCTGCAGCAGTGCATGGGGCAGAGCAAACAGTGGTCCAGGTGGTGCTGCAGCCTGTAGGGAGGTGGTGATGTGTCAAGAGGGCAAAGAGCAGCCACGGATGGCCACTGCAGCCCTTGCACCGGCAAAAAGGGTACTGAGCCCTGACATGCTGCTGTAAAGCCTTGGAAAGGAGTGGGACACAACACAAGGCGCTTGAGGCTCTAGCTTACTGGTGCAACTGGCCTTTTTAGACATCCTGCATAGGCGTCCTCTGCCTATAGAGTCTCATGTGTAAATGGATAAAATGTAATGGTGTGTTTGCTTGGGATCCTGCTCATAGGCTACCAGAACCTGTCTCATCCCATCAAGGTTTTGTGGAAACCTCCATGATGTAGCAGTTCACTTTCTTTTCTGCAGTCCCCATAGTTTTTCCTTGCTAGTTCTACTCAGGGCAGACTTTCTTCCAAGCCCAAATTTAACATAAAAATGGGAGATCTTTTTTTCTTGGTGAGAGCACTTCACTGAGGCTACAGAAGTCTGGCTGAAAATAGGTCAGTTTGGGTCTTTTCCTGATGGCTCCCTCTCCTCTACTTGCAGGGACAAGCCTTTAATTTTTAGTGCTATTTATTTGATCCTGGTCTTTGGAATCCAGCATTTCATGAAGGAACGGAGAGCCTTCCACCTGCGGACACCACTGACCCTGTGGTCCTTCAGTCTGACCTTGTTCAGGTAAGAGCCTTTACTAAAACTGGAGACAGCTGTAGATCTTCCCTACGCACTGGATTGATGGAAAGTTCTGGATATCCATGATGTCACTAAGGAAATAAACTATTTTTTTCCCCATGAAGGCCCTTTCCAACTAGGGGAAGTGACCTGCTCGTACAAGTAATTTGTTTCTCACCAGAAATATTCCAGCAAGTGGAATGAGCTGCAGAAGGACCACTGGGGACTGTGCTTGAAAATCATTCGTGGGTAGATATGAATGTGAAGCCTGAAAAAACAAAACAGAGATCCTCCCTTATTCAAAGGATTCCTACTTATTACAAGTTTGATTTGAGATTTATTACTCTTTAAAATTGTTTTTCCCACCACCACCTTTCTCTAATCCTGTTGTGTAGGAGGTGGGGAAAATTCTGCCAAGCTCACAGAAGCATAGAAGATTAATCTAAAATGTATGTTTTCAAACTGTCCAGTCTTACAGTACTGGTTTCCTGCAGTGGCCGTGAGACTGTATCAGCCCATGCTCTGTAACTATAAACAAGCAGATGTCAATTTTCAAAAATTCCCCTTATCTCCACACCTCTTTCTGTCTGTTTCGTGAGACAGAGAGAAATTAGACTACTGCCTCTAACTCCAGTTGGCTTTGATCAACTCAAAGGGACACTGGTTATCCTCTGTTAGGGCTGGGCATGGCAGTGGTCTGTAAAATCACAGGTTGTGTGAGAGGGGAGGTCAGGGGATGACTGTTCATGGTCTGTACAGAGACAAGCTCATGCAGATGAAGCAGGTTGATAACAAAGAAGAAGTGGTATTTCTCATAAGCTGTAGGAACTGCCTGCAGGAGATTGTAAACGTTCCCTGGGCATGTCCTGTGGGCCCATGTCAAGAGGTGGGACATCAGGACAATTGTTCCCCTTTTCTGATCAGCATGGCAGCTTTTGCTCAAGTGCCTCTTCAAGCAGTGGAAGCAGAGAGTGTAACAAGGGAGCACTCTTTGATGCTCAGACCTTGGCTGCTGCCACCCTCCAGGAGCAGCATGGTGGCACCAGGCAAGCTGAAGGGCTGTGTTGGTGTCTCACAACCTACTTACTCCTTGTGTCTTGCTGCTGTTCTGGTGGGACCAGCAGCCTTTCACTGCAGGAACATCCTGGCTAAAAGGTGTCGGGCAAGCCTGTGCCCAGCAAACAGAGAGCTAAAACCTTCTGGGAAGTAAAAGAAGACAACAGTTTGTTTAGATGTCCCTGAGACTACCCTGGGTATCAAGATTGAGTTAGCTGAATATCCTTGGGTGCAGAGGTGTCAGAGGCTCTGGTGGGCCCTGGGAACAGTGTTCAGCTCTTCTCTGATTCTCTTGCAGTGTCATTGCAGCCTCACGGGTCTGGAAGCAAATGGCCTTCGTCCTTCTTAACAAGGGATTTAAGCAATCAGTGTGTAGTCAATCTGTCTATGTTCACCCTGTCTCCAGGCTTTGGTTATTTTTATTTGTAATGAGCAAATATGTGGAAATGGGTGAGTCTGAAACTTCTTATCCTGTGTGTTTGTTACTGTTACTTGGTTGTTTAGCTTTGTACCTGTCACTTGTTTTCTTGCTTCCTCAGATGATATGCTTGCTCTCCAAGGGGTTGCAGCCTGATATTATTACTCTAGTTTGATCCCCAGGCCAGTGCCTGGACTAGACAATTCTGCCCTGGAATGACTGCAGTGAGGGGGCAGCAGACAAGTAGGCAGGGAAGGGCTGGGCTTTCCGCCCAGTTTCAATCCGAAGAAGTAAAGAAGAGCTGGTCTGAAGTGCTGTGTAGGTAGAGCTAGGTAAGCAAGCCTGGGGCAAGGGACTCTTGTACTACAAACATGCCAGCAGGTAGGGTGCCTGAATGATCTTTTTCAATACAGACTATTTCAATGTAAACTTAGGTTTTGGTGGGATCAAGCCATATAATGGCTTCAGTATTGAAGCTTGCTTGTTCTGCATCATGTGAAAACTTGTGCAACTGCTGTGCTTTCACCAAACTAACAATGCACCTCTCTCCCAACTCAAGGTGACACTGTGTTCATTGTTCTCCGGAAAAAGAAGCTCATCTTTCTCCACTGGTATCACCATTTAAGCACAGCAGTTGTAACCTGGTATGGATATAATGAAATGGCAGCTGGAAATGGCTGGGTTGCAGCCTTGAACTTCAGTGTCCATGGTCTCACATATGCCTACTACACTGTGACAGCCATGGGCATCCGGGTACCCAAGTCCATCGCCATAACAATCACCACTTCACAAATGGTGCAGATGACGGGATTTGTAATAATGAACATCTTTATCTTCTTCTGGAAGGATGATAAGGTCTGCCACACCACCTGGCCACTGTTTCTCGCTTCATCTTGGGTTTTTATCACTTTTTTGATACTCTTTGTCAACTACTTCTCCAAAACTTATCTGAGTGGCACCTGGAAATCCAAGGGGGAGTAAAACCAGGGACAGAAGAAGAGACGGGGGTGGAGGTGGGGAGAGAGGGAAAGGGGAAACTTTTCACTTCTGTCTGGATCTCAGGTGCCTAATGGGATGGGTGTGATGAGCGTTAGGAAGAGATCACTGTGGATAACAGCCTTCAGATTAACTTGTGCATTGGCCTTTGGTGTGTCTGCCTTGCATTGGGGGGCATGCCAGAGTGAGGTGCGAGTTGTTCCAGTCCGGTAACAGGAGAAGGGGGAAGTAGCTGGGGGCTGGAGACCTTGGAGCTGTGGTTCTGCTTTTTCCTCTTTGTGTCTCTTGGGTTTGCCTTGTGCCTCGCCTCCTTCCCAGGGACTGACAGGATCCTGCATGCCCCAAGACTCTCCTTGGAAAAAAGGTAGGGAAAGTCCTCTCAAAACAGCACTACCCTCTCCATGGTCCCTGGTTCTGGGGGAGAGCAGGAGAACAGAGCCCAAACCTACTGCTACTTTGCATGTGGGGCAGCCGCCATAGGTTACTGGTGGGAACAGCACTGAAATGGAAAATCCCTGCTGATTTGTAAGGTTGCATTGGGAGGGGCTCTGCCCAGGCTCTCCCTTCTTCTCTGTGGCGTGAGGAACTGCATCCCGTGAACTTTCGTGGCTGTTATCTGTGGTGTGCCTTTTGTACAATATTAAACAATCTATTTAACTTGACTAGCTGCTGTCTCAGACTCTAGGAGCTGAGCAGGGTCCAGCTCTGCCCTGCAGATTGTGCCAGGCATTGCTAATGGTCCCAGCCCAGGGCCAGCCGTACAGGCTGAAGGCAGAAGGGTCCCAGGAGGGACCTCCTCTCAGAGGACTTCTGCCACTGTGTGATGTGTTAAAATGACTAATAAATGCTGTCATATGGATTGATTGATTGATTGATTGATTTTTTTTTTTTTATGTCTTTTTCGTACTTGACCTTTGTACAGAACTGTGAGAGAAGCGTTGCTTTCTCTGTTTCAATACTTTGTCTTTCTGAGGGTTAGCAAGGTATCTGACAGATTCAGTCCCTCTATGCTTACCCCTTCTGCAGTCATCAAGAGCTGGTCTTACTTCTCGAGCCCCTTTGCTCACCATGAGGGAACTAGAAATGAGAGAGAGAGATGATAAAATTCAGGCTGTTGTTTTGCCATCTGAACTGAGCATGTGGCTTTTCAAAGTCACTGTGCTTCATGAAGTCAAGATGAGCCTCAGAGTCTGGCCAGGAGCACCCCAGTGTCCAAGCTTCTGGTTGTGTGCTGGCTTCTACCTGGTGAATGGGATTTGGCTGTTTGAGGCAGTGGGCTAGAAACCCAGCACAGAGCTGTGGGCTGCACTTTTATCCCCAGGAGATGGCATCAGTCTGTGCCCTGCCCAGCCTTCCCTGACAAGGGCTCCTACTCTGGACTTCCCAGAGTGATGGGTAGTAGTGTAACAGCACCTTCCACAGCTTTGGGAAATGCAGAAGCAGTCAGCTGAGGTGTTTGGAGAATAGGAATAAACTGCCTTCCACATTTGGAAGCTCTCTTTAGAGGGGGATGGTGAACATATGGGAGTAATGGGGTGATCTCTCTCCTGCATGGTGCTATTTGGGGCACTTTCTGTGACAAGCGTGGTGCTGGTGAGGCAACTGCCAGCTCTCTCCTTACATGTGCCTACAGCTGCCCCAGCAATGCTCCCTCAGCTGTCTCAGGCATCTGCACAAACACCAGATCATAGAGTCATCAAGACTGGAAGAGACTTTTAAGATCATCAAGTCCAGCCTTCAATGCAGCACTTCCACTGTAACCTCTAAAACACTAAGCCACATCATTCAGTGCCAGATCCAGAAGTCTCTTAAACACCTCCAGGGATGGTGACTCCACCACTTGCCTGGGCAATCTATTCCAATGCCTGAGCACCCTAACAGTGAAAAAAAAATTTCTAATATCTAATCTGAATTTCCCCTGTCTCAGCTTTAGGCCATTTCCTCTAATCCTTTCACTGCAGGCACAGTAGAAGAAGCCAGTCACAGCATCACTACAACCTCCTTTCCAATAGTTGTAGGGAGTGATAAGGTCTCCCCTGATCTTCCTCTTCTCAAGACTAAACAAACCCGGCTCCCTCAGCCATTTATCACAAGACATGTTTTCTAGTCCTTTCAGGAGCCTTGTTGCTCTTTGCTGGACATGCTCCAGCAGCTCAATGTCCTTTTCAAAGTGAGGGCCCAGAACTGAATGCAGCACTCGAGGTGTGGCCTCCCCAGGGCTGAGTACAGGGGGATGATCACTTCCCTAGTCCTGCTGGCCACACTAGTCTTGATACAGGCCGAGAAGTCACTGGCCTTCTTGGCCACATGGGCCCACTGCTGGCTCATATTGAACGAGCTGTCAAACAGCACCCCCAAGTCCCTTTCTGCCAAACAGCTCTCAAGCTGCTCACCCCCCAGCCTGTAGTGCTGCAAGGGGTTGCTGCGACCCAAGTGCAAGACCCGGCACTTTGCCCTATGGAACTTTATGCAGTGGTTCTTAGCCCATTGATCAAGTCTCTCTGTAGAGCCTTCCTACCTTCTAGCAGATCATCCAACTTAATGTCTTCTGCAGGTTTACTGAGGGTGCACTCCATCCCTGTGTCCAAATCATCAATAAAGATGTTAAACAGACCAGACCCAAAACTGAGCCCTGAGGCTCACCACTAGCAACTGTCCACTAACTGGATTTAGCTCCATTCCCCACAACTCTCTGGGCTCATCCAGACAAAAACACTGAAAAGTGGTGTTTCCACAGTTACTGTTTTTCTGCCTAAAATGCCTGACGTGTTTTTGATGCTTCAGAGGTGATGCTCTGTGGGATAAGTGAGCTACCCGACTGCCCTTGCTCTGCTGGTGCCGCCCCACTCAGCAGTGCAGACCAGGGCACTGGAGGCAGGGCTCTGCGTCTCCAGAAGACTTCACCTCTGGAAGAGCTCTTTGTAGGCCCATCCGTGCATGCTGTTTGGGTAAGAAGTATCTTTCGTGGGGCAGGAATCAACCCAGCAGAAGGAGGGTTTGCTGAGGGTGTGTTGCAGAGACCCTCTCTCCCCCTTCAAGAGGCACCGCAGCTCTTCAAATGGCCACATCCATCCACTCAGAATGTGAGGGTACCCCCTTTCCAATGCTGCCTTGCCCCACCTGCCCTACACGCTCCCCAGGGAATGCACACCATTGGCAAGCCCAGCATTTGCCCCTTTGCTCTGCTGTTCTCTCTGGCTAAACAAGAGATAGCAATAAATTTGCCAGACCTAGGAAGGGGAAGACTTCTATTTCTCATGTGTTTTATATTAATTGCTGCTGTTTGGCAAGTTTTCTGGAGTGCTGAGCTGTGGGTGAGAGTAAAGTGGTGGTGCTTGCTGGGGCTTAGGGAGCTAATAACAGCACTCTCCCAGGTCAGTGCTATTTCCCTGAAGCTCTCTGGAAATGACTCCTCCTGGTACTTTGTGAAGAAAAGTCCTTCTTACGTGTGCTGGTGAGCTGAAGCAGACAGTGGGCATGCTTTGGAGGGGATGTGTCTTGAGGATTTGTCTATTTTTGTTGGGTGGGGGGGGTTGTTTTTTTTTTCTTTGAGGGAATGAAGAGCAATCGGTTGCCTCTCATGCAGGAGTCACTGCTCGGGGGGAGCCATGGTCCCCACTGAAGGCGTCTTTGAGGACCCTTGCACAGCTGGAGCAGCTTGGCTTAGGGGCAGCCGAAGGGATGTACGGAGGCTGCGGGATGCAGGGGAGCAGCCCTGCAGCTCTGACACGGGCCGGGCAGAGGACGTGCTGCGAAGAGGAAGGTTTCCTGGGGGCGGGAGTAGACGGGGCCCCAGGTTGCGAGAACCGGTGAAGCAAGGCTAGGGAGCCGGCGGGGAGCAAGAGGGGCTTTTTTTTCCGGAGGCTTTATCCGGCCTCCGGCGCGTGGCAGGAGCGCGGCGCCCACCGGCATCCGCTGCCCGCCGGTAGGTGACACCCGCCGCCCGCGCTGCCCGGCGGCAACGGGGTCCGAAACGGCGATTAAGACAGAAATTAGAGCCACCTCTCACAGCTGTAAGCCCAGTTGTTAACACGTGCAGCAGGGGCTCGGAGGTTCGCATCCACCCAGCAGTTCGGGGTTCTACTGACAGCACGCACCAAGCAAGGGGAGTCAGAAAACATCCCCCGTTGTATGAACAAGAGGATACTGAACAGGGTCTGTGCTATGCTGCTTTTCGGTGGAGGGGAAGCACTGACGGCAGCCACTGAGGACACCCAACTGTTCGGTGCACTTTGCCTTAGTCTTCAGACTTGGACAGCTACGGGGAAACAGAGAGCACAAGCCATGCCGGTGATGGGGGCTGAAGGCTGTCCTTGAATAAGAAAAGTGCAAGAGAGTATTTAGATAAACAGGAGTTTTTCAGACTATCTGGGTGTGGTGAACTTCACACAAAACAATCCCAGAATTAGTTATTGTTATCTATGAGAACTCCTGAGAGACACTGAAGTTTGGAAAGACAGTAAAATGCAAGCTTTGTACCCCCTGTTCAAAACAGGGACTGAGACCAAAAGCCGGGGACTGCTGATAGTTAAATCCCAGCCCCATCACCACCCAAAAATGCTAGAACAAATAATCTCACTGTTTGTAAGCAGTGGAGATGAGTGGGAGGTATATGGACCCATCAAGAACGGAATCTGGTCAAAATAATCCAAATTTCCTTTATGACAGAGCAATGGCACGGTGAAGAAGAGCTCTTGCTGCCATCTAGATGAGATATTGGGTAGGTACAAAACTCATTGAATAATTATAACCAGAAGTATCCACAGGTCACTGTTGAAAAGGAAGGGGTCTGTTGAGTGAGGTTCAGGGACATCTGTTCCAGGACTGGTTTTGCTCAGCATTTCCACTAATGACCTGGATGATGGAGGAGAATGTGCACTTGCTAAATCTGCAGATTGGGAAGTATCCAGTGACAAAGTTATCTGCCTAACAGGTCTTCAGAATAAGCAGGACCCTGCTAAAAATGGCCTGCTTTCTTTGCAGTACTAAGAAGATATAGCTGTGAAGGTACTGGGGACGTGTGGGAGAGAGAGGTCCTGGAGGAGGTTTGTAGTACACATGTAGTAAACCTGCTGTGTTTGTGCTGGACCAGAGAGCATGATGTCCATGTCCTGGCCCCATGGGAAAGGAACCAAATGTGGAAGGCTGTACTGGCCCAGGTACATCAGGAAGGCAGCTGGAATTTGAAAAACAGGGGACCTCTCCCAGAGCTCTCTGCTGCCAACTTGCTTACTTAGTTATTTGCTTTCTCTGTTTTCTGCAGATTTTAAGGTTTTCATGTGGTTGTATCAGTCATTAGGTCACTGTACAAAGTGCTCTCAGCCCAGAGCTGGCGTGTGGTTTGTCACCTGGTCTGGATCCTACATGGTGCAATACCTTTGACTGCAGAGACAGACCACAACATCATCTCAGTGCAGCACTGGGAAGGAGAAACTTGAGACAACTAGGCCAGCCTGCAGAGCCACTGGCCACACACACTGGCATGTACTAGTTACCTTGTGTGGGTACTGACTGAGTTTGTCCTGTTTAGAAATCAGAGTGGTCTGGAGTAATGTTAATTCCATAGAAAACCTCAGACTGAAAAATCAGTACCTAAACTAAGTCTTGACTTTTCCCCACTGGCTCCCAAAGGAAATAGTGAGAAACGTGCTGGAGTTGGCCTTCTGCTCTGCATAGTCGGGCATATCTTTCATCCACTGAATGGATGAAACTGGCTCCTCCAAAACTCAGCCCCTGTTCCAGCTTGGGTTGCCTCATGCTAGTGCTCCTAAAGATGCTCACTCTTGCCAGGCTGATGGCACTTGATTTAAAAATCTTCAGACGCAGGTTTGTGCTCTCAATAACCAGACAAGCAGAAGCTTAAAGGGATTGTGCCAACTTTTATTTTATTATCTCTTTTGGAAATGGGATTTGGAGAAGGGAAGGGAAGGAGATGTGCAAGGAGGAGCTGACGGTTGCAAAAAGGGGTGTTTTGGATGTACACTGGCAACAGTGTTTGTGTCTGACTGGAAATGACTGAAGCAGTAAAGCATGACAGGCAGGACACTGCCTCAGTGGATGTGCTTCCTTTACAGGGTTTTTGGTTTTAAGGTCTACTTTGTAGGTTACTTCACATACAAAACAAAAAAGCATATTTTAATGTCTATATATGTATTTGCATATATATAAGATATATATACAGACACATATTTTATATTCTTACAACCCCCAGCTCCTAAAGACTTCAAGTCTGAAGGGCCATGTGTATATATGCATTATAAAGAGAGATGCCAATCAATTGAGACAAGGCTTCCTTACTGGCTTCATTATCCTTATGATAAATAAATGGGCAAGATATCTTTAACTGAAGTCTTGCACATGTGCAGAGAAAATGGGTCAGCCAAGCACCAAATGGCACCACCCACATTGTCCTGTCTCTGGCTATGCCCTGCAGGGGTGAAGTGTGTCTGCCCATGCTGTTCCAAGGACTTGGGGGGCTCACCCCTATGGAGTTTGGAGGGGAAGATTGAAACATACTTGGTTCTGCTGCCCATGGGTCAGGCACCCTGCATGTTGGGGCTCCTATTTCTCCACTAGGGCTTCCAGTAGAGTGTTTTGGTTTCTTTATGGAGGAGGAGGAGTTTTAGTAGGCAAGAAGGGAAGGGGTTTTGAAGGGGAAAGACAGTCAAAATTCACCATACGATAGACAAATCTTTGTAAAGGTTTGTCTGCCTGCTCACTTCTCTCTCTCTCTCTCCCTCTCCCTCTTATGCTCTCATGTTCGCTCTCATTCTCTGCAGGATGTACGCTGTTGTAGGGCTAAAGGTCTCCTTTTGTCAGGCTAAGGTCAAGTCCCTGGTTGGCAGAGGGCAGCCCTTCATACAGGCCTGTCCACAGCATATTGGCAAGGGCTCAGGTTGGAAGCTGCCGTCTGCACTGCCGGGTAGGTGAAGTTGGCGTGCTGCTTGGCCTTCAGCCGCAGGCTGGCCAGGCTGGAGTTGCATGTGTCCCTGTACATGTAGGGGCTGGCTGTTGAGGCGTAAGGACAGGCACTGGATGAGACAGCAGAGTTGAGGCTCGGGCTGTTCAGGTTGTTGATGTTTCCCAGGTTGTTGAGGCTAGAGGCTGGTACTCCTGTCACTGCAGAAGGGACCATGGAGGAAGGCATGGTCATTGAGGTGATGGAGCTGGGTGGGGAGAACATGGGCTGGGAGGAGAGGGGACTGACATTCATGGAGTTGAAGAATGGAAAGCTCTTGGCTGAGAGCGGGCTGGTGGCAAGCCCCTTGGTGGCCCAGTTGTTGTAGGAATAGCTGGAATACACGTCATCATAAGGCTGCATCAGTCCATTGAACTGGGCTCCAAAGCTGTTCTTGCACAGTTCAGCCTGTTGGTTCCTCTCTCGTTTCCTCCATTTAGCTCTGCGGTTTTTGAACCAGACCTGCAAGAGATAGAGAAGGAGGGCATGGGAATCGCTCTGGGCTGTCCTTGGAAGGGGCCTTGCCCTGGTTTCTTTGCCCAGCAAACCCAGAGCTAAGGGCCGGGGATGCTCCCAGGGAGCTGGGAGGCTGAACATCAGGAAGGAGTTTCAGTAAGATGTCTGGGCTGCAGAGTCATCTCCCAGCAAGAATCACTACCTAGATCAAATTCCAACCACTGCCATTTCACAACACGCAGAATAAAACCCACCTCACTCAACAAACAGATGCCTTTTATATGGGGAAAAGAGAGGGAAATACTTCTTGTATTTCCAAGTGACCAAAGCCAGGAGGTGGGGTTGGGGCTGTGTGACTTGGAGCAAAGTATTTGGGGGATGTGTCTTGAGAGCTGCTGAATGGAGGAAATAACCTCTCTTGTTTTTACTTTACTTCAGGACCAGCTCAGGGTGCGGTATTATAAGTCTGTCTCCTAACAGGAAAATCTGTTAGTGTTGGAGGGGCTCAAACAATATAACTTCCTAGAGCATGGAAGCTGCTGGAAGGCTATTCATGGTGCTGCCAACTCATATTTCTAGTAGCAGGGAGAAGCTCTCATTCCAGCTGGAGCAATGCCATACCATGCCTGTGATTGGACAGTGGTTTGTGAACCCCAGAGAGTGCCCTCCAGCAAGGCTAGGACTGGGGAATGATGGCACTGCAAGGAAGGGGTCTGCTAGGTCGAGGCAGACAGCTGGTGGTGCTCTGTGGGGCAGAACCTGGGCTTTGTATCTTCCTGTGTAATGGCAAGGTGGCCTTGGGTGGGGAAGGCACAACCAGCATGGGGTGATACGTTTGTGGCTCGATGTGTCAAATCTCAAGTGTAGAGTTTGGTGAGGTGTTTCCAAAATGGAAATTTCCTAGTGCTCCCAATTCCTTCCCTGATTTGGGGACAGCTTTATCCTTGTAGCACAGCCAGCTTCTTCCCCACAAACTCATGCCCAGGAAGGTGGAAGAGCTGCAGTCCTACCCGGACTCGTGCCTCTGTCAAGTTGGTCCAGACTGCAATCTCCTCCCTGGTGCTCATGTCTGGGTAACGGTTTCTCTGGAAAGTGGCTTCCAGCTCTTGGAGCTGCTGGCTGGTGAAGTGCGTCCTCTGCCTCCGCTGCTTCTTCTTGAGCGAGCCGTCTTCAGGGTTGGAGTCGTCCGTCTGGTTTTGCTGGGACTTCTCTGTGTCTGTGTGAGAAATAGAAAAATGGGAGAGATCCCCTGAGTTAACTTGAGGGCTTGGATGCAGCTGGGGAGCCTATCCTTGGAGCAATCAGTGTACGCTCAGTGAGGTCCCCCTCCACTTCAGCCACCGCTTATGGTCCCATTTCCCTCCCTTGTCCTTGTGAGCAGGCATCCACCCTGCACCAAAAACAATAGCCCCTTGATGCAGCACAGCTTGCCATCATTTAACTGCCATAATAGTTATTATCTTCCAAGTGACTGGATTTAGATTTTCCAAACTTCCAGTCTCTGGTTTTCATCTGTCGCAGTTCACATGGGTGATAGTGGCAGAACTTACCCAGGTTAGCAGGTTCTTACTCTGCTTAAAACTCTCTGCCTAAGGTGCCCTCCAGAAAAACTGAAGATAAATTGATGCTTACGGCACAGCAATGTTGCTGTGGACAAGTGATGGGAAAAGGCAAATTGCCAATGATAGCAAGTTGAGGCTGTTCAATTAACTAAACCTGAGAAACACAAATTTTCACCCTTCCTCCCTTCTCGCTCCTCTACCTTCTTACTTAGGTGCACATATTTTGATTTTTAAAAAGTAGGAAAAGGCCTCTCTTAGACCTTATCATGAAGTACTCCAGCATCTCCCTTTCCTCCTGCCTCTGCCTGTCTCTTCACTCAGAGACTCCTCTCCTAGAGGCAATGTCTTTCATTTTGTTGCCCCTTAAATGAACATCTCAAAACTTTCCAGCGTTCACACTGGTATCTAACCGAAACACACAGCTCAGCCTCCTCCTGGGCATTGAGACAACGTCTCAATGCTGAGCTTTGGGCTGCCGTGGTTAGAGGTGGGCAGCCAGGTGCTTCCCTGTGCCACAGCCCCTTTTGATGCTGTTGGTACTCTGCAAACAGGGGCAGAATGAAAACATAAGCATCTTCCCTGTAGTTGTCCTCCATAGATTGCCCAAGTGCTCAAATGGGGCATTTTCTTTTTATGATGGAAGAAAGCTATAGCTTGTGTTTAATTCTGCTGACAATCACAACGAGTCACCACAGGAGAAAATTATTCCAGTGAAAATAAATAATTTCTGATGTTCAACTCCTCCTACCTCTGATCTAGAAGCGAGGTGAAGTATTTCCAACTGAAAATCAGGTCTTCAGCAGGAGGAGAGTCCTTTTACAGTGGGAAAGAGCTAAACTAAATAAAAATTACTGCAAATAAGCTCTCAAACTGTTCCACTTAGAAGAAAAACCTTTAAAAAAATGCTGACATCACTCTGCTGAAATTCAGATTTTTGTTTGATTGTGATTCTTTGAGTGGAAATCTTAAAAGGATTCAAAGTCCAGAAAAATCTGAGCATGAAGGTATCTGGTACATTCCCTTGAAAAGCAGAGAGGCAAGAAAACAGTAGCGTGGAATACAGTTGAGAGAGGAGAAAAAGGGTTCCTCAAGTCAGATGGGTATGCTCTGGAAAATAGGCTCCATCTTTTCCGTTTAGCTTTTATGGGGCATAAGGGGGAAACTTAAAAGCATCTAAGCCTCAACAGAGAAAGGACTCTGCTGCAGGGCAGTGCTGTTCTAACAGCAGGTGCTTTAATGGAGCCCAGCCCTTGAAGATGCTCCTGTCTCAGGAACCTGGTGCTGCTACCCCATTCCTGTGACAGCCTGTTAATTCAGAAATCTTCCTGCTGTTCCTGGAAAACCCTCCTTGTACTTGCCTTTCTTCAAAGGGAGCAATGCTGGAGTCAGAGGAGCATTTGCAGAAGGGGTGCTTGCTCTCAGCAGAGGAAGGCCTGAGTGTGGTCAGAGGTTTGCTTCTGTGGGTATGTCTTGCACTGACTGAAGCAATGTGGGTTCCCCACAGGCTCCTCACCACCCACCTCTCCTTCTGTGGCACATCAAATGCTATCCACCAGCAGGAATGTGAATGCAAGGAGAGCGAGATGGCCATTGTTCACAGCAGCAAGATGTAAGCTGGTTCTTCCAAGCAGGAAGGTGCCGTGTCCTGTTCCCAGTGCCGGGACCAGCTTGTGTTTCCATCCAGGGTGTATCTGTACAAGAACTGTCACAGTGCACTCTTGAAACAGACAAAGCCATAGGAATTGAAAAGTGGAACGAAAAGCTTGCTGTGGTCTTGTGGTACTCTTCTCATTTCCATGAGTGTCTTTGTGTGGGGATCCCATGTTTAGCAGGACTCTTGGAAGCATGCTCTTAATGTGAATTTTTTGATAGTGGTTCTTGACAAGGATATAAATCTGACTTCTCTAGCTGAATGCTCTAAACTAGTATTTGAAGAGGGAGATTCATGCATTATCCATCTCCAAAACATTAAAAGGGGAGTGATACCACCACATCTGAGCTAGTTATTAGGAATGGCTCAGTACAGAAGAACTGACAACATTTGGTTTGTTTGTTCATCTGCTGAGCCTGGGTTAATTAGAAGCCTGATGCATACAGGCGATATGTTCTCACCATTCCCTGACAAATGTTTGTTTCCAAAGGGGCTGCTGTGAAGCAGGAGGCTGTGCCCTAATCAGGAGCTCCTGCTCAGGACTGCCCTTCTTCACGCAGGAAGAAACTATACCGAGAGGGAAGGAGAATGGAATGAAGGTAGCACTGGCTTACGTGCTGCATCTGGGTGGAAAGGATCACCAAGTATCTTGCTTTGGTATTCAATTCATCTTCTCAATACCTTCTGGTGTAGAGCTTTTCATAAATCTTGTTAAGTCTAAGGAGAAGTAGGAATCCTGACTTTGAGCCTGGAAAAATTCCTGCAGTTACAAGTTCATCTTGTCCTCTTTGTTTCCATACCTGCTACCTATGGCTCTTTCTGAGCATTGTTTATAGGGAATGTCATCTTTTCTGCTTTCTCTCTACGCAAGGAAGAAGTGCTCTCTGTAAATGGGGCAGAGATTTGACATTGCAGTGGGGGTCAGCAACGTGGCAATACAGAGAAAGAAGGGAGCCCACACAAAGGATGTGGGTGCCCTGAATCCATGCTGAGAAGCACAGTATGGGGGAATGTGGGGCAGTTCTTTACCCACCTCGCTCCTCATCCTTGCTCTCCTCCTACCTGTGCTGCCTAATGAAACCAACAGAAGGGGGTGTCACAAACCATGCCATACTATCAGAGAACACTTGAGATCCCTGAGAGCTGAGCTCAGACAAGCAAGGTTTGTGTCCACTTCCTCAGGATCTCTTACTCTGTGGATGAATGAAACAGGGCCAAAGAGAAGTAGGGAGGCTGCTCTCTTGAGGAAGTGCCAGAAGGAAGTGCAGCCCTGTCCTGTCCCAGGCAGCCCTCAGTAGCCAGCTCTGCTCTGCCTGACACTGCTGGTGTGTGGCTGCCATCAGCCTGTGGTGCAAAGGCACAAGCTGCCAGCCTCAGCGTGCAGGTAGAGCTGAAAAACGCTCACCTCCCAGAACCATTTTATTTCTAGACCATTTAAGACAGTGAGGAATGATGTAGCCAGGCATCCAGCATTTATTGTCACCCCAGAATAGGCTGTGGAATAAATCCTGTGCACGTTCGCCCACTCAATGAAACGACTGTGGTCATAGCTGGAATTAGCTGCTCATGCCTAATGGAAAAAAAAGTCAGCGCCTAAATTGGCAGTTCTGTGGCATGCCAGGGTGGGCTTGATTGGGAAGGCCACTTGAATGGAGACGCTGCCATGCATCCAAAGCAGCTGACGAGGAGTCACTGAGCTTGGGGATGTGCCCAACTAAGGTACAAGTGCATTGGGGAATTTGGCAGGTGGATTCTCTGACCATAGTTATCCCACTGTAACTCCCTTCATGATACTTACTCTGGGGAATGTTAATCTGCATCATTATACTCATTAGCTTTTGCACATGGGTGATCCTGGAGGCTCTACAGGAAGAGCAGTAGGCTGTCCCCAGCCCTCACCTCCCCTCATGCTGGCACTAGCAGGAGCAGCTTTGCACTGTCCTGACACATCCAGAGTGACAAGGGATGGAGCAGTCACTGGATAGATGCAAAATCCAGGGGAAGCTATAGCATTTGGTAGCTGATTTTTGAACAGGTATGAATGGTGATGTTTCTTATTCAGAGCCTGATAAAGAATGCAGCAGACTTGGGGTTTGTTCAGCCTTTGGGAATGGTCAGAGGCACCTCCTGGAGAGAGCAACAGCCTGCTGCAGAGCCTTGCATCGAGGCACAGGTGAGCATGCTTTTTCAGCCAAAACAGGAGCAAGACAGTGCTTCCCTTCTGTCTTATTGCCTGAATCTGGGAAGTTCAGCCCATGGTTTACCTTTAGCATTGAAAGTTTAAACCTAAACAATTTAAACAGTTAAAAAAAAAAAAAGGCAGTTTAAAATTAGGTGTAGCCTTCTGTGCCTTGGATAAGATTTCCTATATTGTGGGGATAACTCTACTGCTCTGGGGATACTGTTCAGGCAAATACAATAAAATCTTGCTTGGACTGTGACCTGGCTTGCCTGGCTCCTGCCTGCCATGGGCTGTGCCCTCTGTGAGCAGTGGCTACCTGCAGCCAGGGCCAGGCAACTCCATGGCTGGAATGGTGCTCTTGCCTTCCCAATGGCTGTCATCGCTATATGCACCCCTATGCCTTCTCCCTGCTTGCTGGGACAGCCAAGCTGCTACAGCATTGTGCTGGCTCCCGGTACAACAGGAAGCTCCGTGCATCCCTGGGAGCCCAGCAGCTGGTTCCTGCAAGCCACTGGTGAACCAGATCAACCCAAAATGACAGGTCAGGGTCTTTCATGCCTCTTGAGCCTTGCACTCACCACTGTGGTCCTGCCCTTTGCAGCTGTGCTCGTGTTGAGGAGTTCCAGAGTCCGAGAGAGACAAGGCTGGGCTGCGAGCCTCCGCGTCTGCCAGAAGGTTGAAATCCATGGGGCAGGGATGGGTGGTAGAGGAGGAGGAATCTGAAAAACAGCAGTCACAGGGTGATCAGGGAGATGAATCTATGTGTGTGACCTCTCCCCACACCCTCCAGCAGGGACTTGCCAACCCTTGAGGAAAGGTCTGGGAAAAGTAAAGGATCCCTGTGTGATCCTTGGACCCCTTTGAGTTTCCTGGCTGGAAAATGGACATACCTGGCTTTCTGCTGAGCTTCTCTATAAATCAAAGATCATCTAGTGACACTTCTATTTGCAGCCTTCAGAGAAAGAGCCTCCAATTTATAGGTGACATTCAGACTGAAATAGCAACGCCGGGAGCATGCTGTGTAATGGAGATCTGAGGAAGTGGTTCTGGGCCAGCCAAGGGCTGTTAGCACCTTCCCCAGTCATCCCACCTCTCCCATCCTCCCTGCCCTCTTTCTATCTTGCTTCTCCACAAGCTGGTCAAGCCCAATTAAAGCTGTCCAGAGAGCACTACATGCACACATCCCAAAAGAAAAGCACTCCTGTGCCTGGCACTGATAGGAAGGCACATCTGTCTGCACAGCCACTGCTACAAGCAGGGACCCAGGCAGTGTAAGTGGACTCCTTTGGGGTACATCAGGGCCTCTGGAACCTGAATTAACACAGGAATCACATTACATGCCCTTGGGTGCCTGGGAACTAGTGATCCTGGCTGCAGAAGCAGTTCACTTCCAACCTTAGGTCATCCTGACTGAAGGCTCCCCATGTCCCCTCAAGTGACTGTTCTGTACTGGTGAGGCATCTCCCCTAGATGAAAGCATTCCAACTGGAAAGCTGGTGGTGCTGCTCCATACAACTGCAGGAATCACTGTGACTCCTCTGCCACCTCTTTCCTCACCTCTCTGTCTCAAGATCAATTATTCTCATGATTATTCTCTCATTTGCTTCCCTGGGGCCCCTCCACCCTCTACCTGTATTGCCCAGAGGAGCTCGGCTGAGAGTACCACTTTGTTCTGGACCACACTGGATGCTCATGAAGAGGCAGATGTGAAGCAGTAAGCGCTCCAAGTCTGGCCACATCCCCTTGGAAAGGTGAGCTGGCCCTGTGCTAGCCCTTAATTTGAGTTTTGGATCATAACCCTGGCAAATGCAGGATGTTGCATTGTCACCAGTGCATGGTTTATGAAGGCTGGATCACTTGGAGGGGACCACAGCAGCTTCTGAAGCTTCAGCCACCTCCAGCTGATACCTCACCTTCCCAGCTAGGGATCCGCTCCCTCTAAAACATAACAGCAGCCAATGCACTGTGCCAGGATCTGGGACCTCTGGGTTTAGGGAGGTTTGAACCAGGTGTTTGGGACTTTCAAACTGCATGCGGAGGTCAGTTGTAAAGATTGGATTCTAGGTGGTGAAGGATTGCTCAGCCCCTCAAATCCATGCGGGTCAGGGAGGGAGCGTGCTGAAGGCAGTCTGGACTGTGCTAGTGTTTAGACATGTAAACAAGAGATTAATCACATAGCTGTTGCACCTCCTTTGGAGATGGATGACAGTGACTAAGAATGTATTTTCAGAGCTGTCTAAAGCCTCCTGTCAATTTGAGCAAGGCTGCCGCCAGGGCCCTTGGCAAGGCTGATCCCCATACCTGCAGCGTGCTTCCCAGACTGCGGTGAGAGGGCAGGGAGCCATTTCTAATGGTTATCTGGCTCGCTTCTGCAACTGATCTCACTCACAAACCCCCTAGCAGTTTTTCTTGCCCTCCCCTACACTTGGTCTCCACTCCCAGCCTTTCTCGGCTACTGGAGGATCTGTCTCAACACCAGCCTCAGTCACTGCTCTCTGGAAGGAGCATCTAATGAAGGGGCCTGGTGCTGTTTCCCAGACCTTTGCCTTGCTCTGGGCTTCTCCTCTCCTATGGGAGAGAAGTGGCAGGGCTCCATCTTTGCCAGGCGGCTGGTTTCCATTTCCACCTCGTGGCGAGCCTGACCTTTGATGTCTGCCGGCTGTGTTAAGCTGCTGGCAGCAGCAGGGCACAGCCCTGTTGCTTTTTGCCATGTGTACGTACACAAAGTGATGTGACAGGGGCTGTGTTTTCTTTAATACCTTTGCATGGAGTAGGGGGAGTCCATCTGCTGCTGATATTGCCATGGCTTTTAGCATTACTCTCAGAATTATGCAGAAACACACAGTGAATTAATTCCATGGATTAAGTCTTGATTAAGATGTGTGTCACTTTGCTGTCTCAGAATTTATTAAGAGCCCTTCTTGAGGCTGCAGCAGATGGAATTTCTGCCCAATGTTTGTAGATGATAATTTCCCCTCTTCTACAGCCATTTGCATATGATTGCATCTGTCAAGCACAATTTCCTCTCTTCTAGGGCTTGACTCTGTACTGGACCAGATTTAAGGAGGAATTCAGATTCCTGTCTTGCTGTAACTCAAGGACAGTGTCCTTCTGTGCAGGGTCCTGTATGCTTTTTTTTGCACATCTTGCATTGCTTTCATCTGTGTGAACTAGAGTGAAAATATTAAGAACAGGAGGTGGTATCTTACAGCTGGTTCCGTAGGTGTAAAAGACAACACAAGGTACAGTGCTCAGGGAGACCCAGTCCTGCTACTGAAAATTCATGTCCCATTCTTGACTGCACCAGTGCAGCAGTTGCAAGATTGATCCAAGATGCTGGATGCAACATAGCATGCTAGGCCTGCCTCAGAGATACAGTGGGCACCTAGATTAAAACTGGTATTAAAGTGTGGCCAGTATTCAAGATAAAACTGGGACTTGTGGCTGAGCATAAGTTTGCTTTCTGAACTGAATTTAAAACCAGGAGGATTTCAAAGAGGAGATGCATGTATATTTGTAATTACATAACCTATAGCATGTGCCATATGTGGTGGCATCAAGGGAAGCCTTCTCAGTTCGCTGTGAGGAGGTCATGGAGAAGCAAAAGCAAAGGGAGGGGCGGATCTGCTCACCATGGTTATAACAGCAGGAAAAGTCTGCGATGGGGAGAGCACGTGAGCTCGGTACCAATGTATTTACCCAAAGGTAACCTCATACTACTGACACAAAAGGCTGTAGGTATTATTCTAGATTATATAGCCCTTTTGGATTCAAAAAAAGGAGCTTTCTTCCACATTGGCTAGATCTAACTCTAGGCAGAGACATTAAGAAAGTCAACACTAAACCTTTGTGGCATTTCTACTAAGTTGTTTGTCTGGTCTCGAGGAGTTACTGAAATTGGCACCTCAAAAACACCTTTAGATAAAATCAAACTTATCATCTCCATTTGAGTCTTCATCTCACTTTCTTTTAACATAAAAGAACAGTTTCTTTAGGGACAGCTCCTGTACCAGCACCATGCAGCCATGCTTGCTCAGAGGTTTCAGTTTTGTAAAACTAGCCATGACTCCTAGCCTGCTCCAGCACCTGTAACTCTTTCCATCGACATGTTACTGCTCCTGAGATAAACGTTCGCAAACTCGTAACAAACACACCTCTTCTTCCATTCACTGCCTGTGTGCATCCTCCCCTTGGTGCCCACGTGAAGGTGCTGAGGCCACCTGTGCAAGACCCTCCAGCCAGAGAGGGAGTTGCCATCCCTGCTCTACAGGCATGGTGGAGAGCAGGAGAGCAGTTCTGGCTTGAGGCTTTTTCTCCTTTTAAATTCACCTCCTTTCTATATCTGTGTCAGTTCCCAGCTGCCCAAGCCAGGGCTATTGGGGTGGGAGAAGGAGGGCACTCCTACATGAGGAGGGCAACCTTGTTTACCCAAAAAAAGAAACAAGGGTCCCTGTGACCCCTCTACTGGTTCTCAGTATCATGCTGCTCCATCACCTGGTAGCAAAGAAGCCTTTGCTTGTTTGGTTGGTTTTTGTTTTTGAGGGGGCAGGAAGGAAACATAATGGCTAACCTCAAGCCAGGTAAGGCTAATTATACAGCTTTTGTGATGTGGATGTTGCCTGTTGAGAGCTGCTTTCAGACTGACAAGCGTGTGCTGCTTGACACTCTGCACTACCATTGGGGAGCAGGCTACCTGCTGAACTTGCTTCAGCAGGTTGATCTGGAGGGAAAAGCTGTCTCTAGTATTGGCTTCCCATGGGTTTACAGGGGTGCTTCAGCAGGGACCTGATGCTTCAGGTCCCTAGGTAGCAGCACAAGGACCGCTGGTGACCCAAGGGTAGGAGGGAAGCCCTAAGCTGGCCTATCTCCAGCAGATCAGCACAGCCGTGTGGACCTGTGAGCTTCCTCCACTGCCTCTACCTCCGGACAGGGCCAGGGTAGCTGAATCCTCTGTTTGGAATCACTGATCTCCACAAAGAGTTCAGGGTTATCCCTCAGGCTGAAAGGCACTCCACAATCAGTTGGAGGGAAGTGTCCTTTCTTTCTTTCTTCCATTGCCTGAGGTGAAGGTATGATGTTACACTAGATTCTTAGGGTCAGAGCTGTCTCTTCCTGCTCCATCAATCGCAGAATTCAAACTGCTGGGGGGAATCTGCAGTTCCTGATGGAGCGTCGCTGATTGCTTCACTCTTCCCATGCTCACATTGCCTGTGTGCTGGCTTACTTTTAGCAGAGACAAATATTTGGGACCCTATTTAACTGCACATTTTCAGGAAGATGATCTGCCTCTGTACTTTGGACCCCGTGAGGGGCTGAGCTAAGGTGAAACAGCCTCTTCCTCTGCCCCCTGTCAAAGAGGAAGTGGCTGAGGCTGTGCCTGTTCCCGCCTGGAAGAGCATTTTGTTCTCTGGATACATGCGTTTGTTCAGGGAATGGTGTCATAAGAGTGCCTGCAGGCTGGGATTTCAAGTGTTACACCTGCACAGCACGTGAATTGCTCAGCAACTTGAGAGTCTTTTTGCCAGCCAACACCAGCACTGTCTGCAAAGGGCTCTTTCCCTGCTGCTAGAAAGCAAAAAGTATGGGATGCGGGACAAGAGTTAATCTTTGTTTCCTCAAGATTATAGAAATACAACTATGGGGAGACCAGGGTCACCCACTGCTAAACATCTCAGTGTAGCTTTAAGTCCCTAATCTTAATGGAATTGCAGCAGGAACC